GCTTTAAACTGGAAGAGGGCAGGTTTAGATTAAACATTAGGAAGAAATTTTTCACTTTGAGGGTGGTGAGGCACTGGAACAGGTTGCCCAGAGAGGTTGTTGAGGCCCCATCCCTGGAGGTGTTCAAGGCCAGGCTGGATGGCACTTTGAGTAACTGGGTCTAGTGGGAGGTGTCCCTGCCTATGGCAGGGGGGTGGAACTCGATGATCTTCAAGGTCCCTTCCAACCTAAACCATTCTGTGATTCTGTGGTCTTAAATTAAGTATGGTTATAGCTGCTCTTCCATAGGATCATTACTATGAAATAGTGCTTTAGAAAGATAGAACCACAGGTAGGGAGATGAAGGTACTTCAATCAATTCAGAAGTTTTTGGAATAACATTACCCTTGCTTTTGCTTCACAGCCCGACTCTCAAAAAGGTAAAGAATCAATTGATGTCCATGCAAGCACATCTGAAGGTAAAAAAAAATAATCTTGATTATCAGTATTGATTACTGTGGATTACTAGACTAGCAGGCTCTTTTACTGCTTTCAAGCGTAGCATATTAATCTGCAAAGTGTATAAAAAAACCCCGTGCCTTCCTCTAAAGTGCTGAGGCTCAACTCATAAACATTTTGAGGTCTTCAGATAACACTGTTATGGGTCTTGGTAATGAGACTATGCATGTATATTCAGAAAAATAGTACCACAGTGAAATGTTTTACTTGCACTCGGTCACTTTAATGAAATTTGGGGGGGGGAATATGCGCAGATCTTACAGACTGCATTTGTTCACTTGTGTTTATTTTGTTTTTTTTTCCTAAGACCCTGACGTAACTCCCATTTCCATTCGGACACGAAGTAGTTATTTAAAACATCCCAGGATAGGAAAAAATATCCAGGAATCTGAACCCGAAACTTACCAAGGAAATGAGGAAAATGTTTGTGTGTCAGAAAGCAGGTAAAGGAGCCTGTATTTCATTGATTGGGCAGTCACAAACTGTCTCCCAGTGTGCTAATTGGTATTTATTCTCCTTTTTTCCTACTCTGAGTGCTTGATTTTAGAATTACTGAAAATAAAGCCTGATGTGAGAAAGGAAATTGAGACACTGAAGAGTGATTGCACCAAAATGTCTGGTGTCTTTGAAAGCTCAGTAGATATTGGAAATAACAATAAGAAAACAGTGAGGACTGAGGGTGTGTGTACAAGGGGATGTGTTCTGTTATAGCTGAGTCTGCATTAAGGTAAAACCATCTGTATTCATATAGCATAGTTTCTTGCAATAATATAACTAGACACGTATCCACAAATACTATGCGTGATCTTTGGAGAGAAGTCCCTTCCTGACCTCTTGTTATGGTGGCATATTGCAGTAAAATATAGCATGGTGGTTTAGTTTGGGAGATGGTTACTGCTTGTCACTTTCTAACAAAAGAGTTACAGGGAGCCACCTGTCCTCAAAGTAAAACCCTTTGTTTAGACAAATTCTAATTTAAAACCATCATATCCAACCTTACATTCTTTAAACTGGAAATTTTTTTTTTTTTTTTAAAGAATGTTATCTTGTGTAATGAACTGTCAAGTGGGGATGTGAAGAATTGTTCCACTTGTGTTCTATAACAGTTCATACAAGACAGGGCCTGAAGTACTAATTTGTACTGGCTTCCATCCAGAAAACAGAGCTGTGCCTATTTATTTTAAATAAATAGTTCTTTCCTCCCCCTTCCTGTGTGTACGCTCATAGACACGTGGGGCTTCTCTCTATCTGTGTCTCATTCTCTTAAACAAATAAACAAACCCAAAATATCCCCCACAAACAAGAAAAACCACAAGCCCTCTTTTTGGGAACTGAAGATGACGTGACTATTTTATAGGAAATCCCTCAAACTTGTTCTATTAGCTTTCTTTAAATAGATAAAATTAGTTTTTGTGGTTGTAGAATGGTTTGTGTTTTGTTGCGGTTCCCCCCC